GGCGGCTTGCCCCCGTAATGCCACATTTCCCTGCTTAAGTTTTTAAAAAGTTTTTATTATCCGAGAACCGATATGAGCACATCACTAGATGTAGTTTTTCGTGCTGATTATGAATCCGACCCCCTTAGCAAATAAAAATAAAAATTTTAGTGGAATAATTTTAATTTAAATTTTTGACCTACAAACATTTTTAAAAAGATTTAAATTTAAATCATTCGATAGAAAATTAAATTCTCTACAAAATGGTTCATTTTTTTCGACAATTCGACTTTAGGAACAAAACTTATGTCTTTTCGATGTTTCAACGTTGCAGTGAAAAAAGTTTTTTCAACCTAATTTTTCACGTAAATCGACAGAATATCATCAAATCTATGACAAATATAAAAATCAAGTTTTTTGGAGGATATTAAGTGCCTAAAAATTCAGTGAGAAAAAAGTGTATCACGCCGTCACGACAAATGCCACAGCGCCACATTTATTTATTGGCATTTATAAGGAAGGGAAAGGCTTTGGACTACTTACTATCTTGGCTGCTGTAGGAAAAAGTATCGGGCTAATGAAACTGTCTTCTGACAGCACCCTAATTTGACTTCGATGAAGGGTCTCGGTGTAAGTCTCGAGCTGCTTCGTTTTGGAGTTATTCAACTTACAACCGAGCGCACTGTTCATTGAAATGGATAGTAGTACGTCGATAAAACGAGTCATACTACTGGACAATGCACACACTTATCATGTCCAAACAGAAGAAAAAAATAATTGAACAGCAGGTTTCCTAATGCTTCTTTTTTTAACCTTGAATAAGAAGGTTTTTCTACCAAGTTCGCCTGCTAAACCATTGGATATCAAGTAAAATTTTTCTGAGAAAGTTTTTTGACAATTTGACAGATTATCATGTTATATATCGTTTCATATAGCTTGACCAGCTGATTCTATACTTTTTCGGTTTCGCATAAAAAAGACTTTATAGGTTAAGGAAAAAAATTTAGATCCAGAACCTTAGATTTTTGAAAAGTTCAAGCACGATCTAGGATGATTAGTACTGGGGCTTGCTGTGGTCCTCGGTAGAGCACATTTAGTGAAATATTGAGTGAAAGTTTAAGTTGAACGTTAACTAATTGTAGTTTTTCCAATATGCGACGGAGAAATTTTGGGGCACAATTTTTTGCCTAGTATATAATTTTTTGTCGTCTGTGTTTAAGCTCAACCGGAATAACTTTTTCCTCAAGCTAGAGTTTATGAATGCATAGTTTGCTCCTGGTAGTTTTTTCTTTTTTTTTGAAGAAAGTTAATTTTCAAGGAGATCCTCCATAGTCAGAATGAGTACACTGTTATAAGGAGAAACATGATTGAATTGCCGTTTCGAAACCGATCGAGCATCTTCATTGAGAGAAATATCACTACTTTATTCTAAAAGAAAAAAACACACTCCGCACTATTGTACGGAGTGCAGTGGAGTGTGCTTTATTCTGCGAAGTGGCTGTAGTGTGCTTTTCCCCCCCTTAATTTTATTCGTCAATCATGTTAATGCAAAATTTTAGAGCTAGAAATAGTCGCTATTTGGCTTCATTTTGTCCGTGATTTTCGATCACTGCAAATTGATATGACTGAGAGCCCGGGAATGCGACACGAAGACGAAAAACAAATAAAACGGAACATAATAAGAATAAATGTGTACATTCTTAAAAACATTTCTTTTATTTTCAGTATTTTTATTGTCATAATCGACATTCATTGTAAGCCTCGGCTCTACTTCGTAGTATTGCTGACATACTTGGAGAAAAACGGAATGACACGCTTGATATACTTGTCATATACTTCTGCTGCATCACCTTCAGTATTAAAGCCATGACCACGACCTTCGGCTAATATAAGAACATAAGGAATATGATTAAGCTCGAGTTGTTGTGCGAGAAACTTGGATTCTTCGACAAGCGCGGCCTGATCGGCTGTTCCATGAATGAGATAGGTCGGAGAAAAAGCTGCCACATCGAGTTGAACGGTGTATCATACCGTAACGATCCTTCTCGTCTGGCCGTCGCTGGGGCTAGTGCAGGTGCCTATGTTACTTATGTCACCGCCATCAATGCTGCACCCAAAGCCAAAGGCAGTCTTTGGCCTCTACGGCATTGGTGGTCAGCTGATCTCTTCTCGTTATTATTCGGTCAAGTGGCCCATAACAGCCAATGTTGCCGACTTTCAACATTATCTCAATTCGACTGACGAAGATGGCGATATTCCTTCTCCGGTCAGCGGTGTTCCTCTTACCTGGCCAATTCCTGAGGAAGGTGAAAAGGCTCGAACAAGTGGTGGTTCATTTGAATACCACAATTTTGACATCGTATGCGCGATGAAATTTGACTGGATGGTGTCAGAAGTGTGCATAGGCTAGACATACTGAAAATATCTATGTAAATAATGCTGATAATATATATTTATAATTTAATTTGTTCAACACAGTTTTCGTACCAAAAGTAAATATACATCTACTTCTAGGAAGAAACGTATGAATTTCCTAGCAGAATCATAAACACAATAAAAGTATTTTGAATTTTTCCAGTTTGTGTATGTGTTATAGATCTAGCACACGTCAGACGCGCGGTCATCACATTCATTCTCTTTGTCGTCCTTTTTCTCGATATTTCTCTTTACATACAGACATGCATATTCTCCGAGAATATGCATGTGATATGGCATATCATTTCTCTCTTTGTCGAAATGTTTTCTTTTTTCAGAAAATGATAACTGTTATATCTTTCTCGCGCGCTTTTACTATCTGTATAGCAGTTTTTCAAACCGTATCGTACATAAACTTGACCAAACCATCGTCTTTGTGTGATACACATCTAAATGTTTATGTTCATCGAAGGAAGGAATATATCGAGGAAAAATCATAGTGTACCTAAGACTTGATCGACTAATATCGCTACACACTTTTTAGAATGAGATAGTAGTTGCCAAAATTTAGATCATGAATTAATTTTTAATGAAATCAGCATTGATAATGTTAGTTGCAGTAACAATATCATCACTGTTATGATAGAGAAAAGTGTCATCAGCAAATAGCCGAAGCTGAGAATTATTTATTATTAACCAGAAAATTTACACGGCGTTGCCCAGGCTGGTTACCCGGGTATGCCTGTGGATGGAGATTTTGGGGTCGCATATAACCTACAGTCTTCCTCTTGATGAATGTGGATCCCATGCAAAATTTGGTTGATCTGGGATGAAGCATGTGGATTTGCACGTGACGAAACAAGCAAAAGTTGTACAGAGGTGGTGAATTACAGTTAATTGGTCCTTTTGTTCGGTAAGTGCAAGTATAACGCTCCTGGTCTGGAAAAATAATCTGATCCTTTATAGATTTGAATATGATAGTAGAATCTGGTCAAGTGAATCTCAATCACAACGAGCACAAATAATACGCGATTATTATGCTTATCAGCCACCCATACGGCAACCAACGACTGATTTTAATATTCCAGGTACTGCAGGACGAAAACCTGGGAAGAAAAGTATTCGCGGCACAACAACAACCATAAGATCATCAAGAAATAAAAGAAAAGTGCTTTAAATATGTAATTATTAAACGCATACATTGTTAATTACGTTAAACATATACATTATGGGATACTCTAAAGAAAAAAGGTCGCTGCTAATAAAAACATTCAAGAGCAATGAGTTATATATTTCGAGGCTATTTTAAATTATACAGGAGGATCATACTCCAGAGTTGAGTGGTCCGACCACCTCTGGTCTCATCAGATTTCCTATGGATTCAAAAGTGATCTAATAGGCTCAAAAAAAAGATGGCAATTATTCTGGCATATTATTTTGAGTGTTTGCGTCACTTTTTTTTGGGTGTTAGTGGGTGTTCCTAACGAAAAAGACCTAAAGAATCCTTTTTCAAATAAACTTTTTCGGTGTTTGTTTGATGTTACTTTATTCACAAAGAACAATTCTATCGACCGGCTATAATTTGGGGATGTTGGTGGATGTTAGTGGGTGTTAGCGTATTTTAGTAATATCCGATTCTCTATACACTCGTGATACAGCACTTTCTACATAAAAACTTAGCTTGTAAGCGGAGAAAGGCTAACTGCTCAACCTTGGACATAAAACAACAGGAACTTACGCTGGCACGTTTTCCTTTCGCCCTCGTAGCCACATTTGCACTTGCACATGGTTCGTCCATTAAGGAAATAAGGTTCACATGCCGATGGAACGAATTTCTTCCCGTCTTACACGGGCCACGTGGAACAGATAAAATAATTCCAGGCAGAAACACGACGAAAACCGGGGGAAAAAATGTCAGTTTACCTATGATAGCATGAAACGAATATATGAAATGCTATGAGCGGATTTTGTCTTCTGTCAATGTACCAGCGAGCTTTATGCATATTTAATTATTGGTACCACGTTTTTTGAAACAAGAAGTGGTAATATGAAAAAAATGATTATTGATTACCATAATGTACCTGCTGTGCAGAAATGATTGCTTTAACTTTGACAGTTTAGTTTAATTTGTATTTGGTTCCAAGTTCATTATTTACCCATTCGTTCCAAAAGTTTTTGAATATAAATTGATATTATTACTACAGACAAATAAATATAAGGGAAAATTTTTAAGTTTCTTCTGAATGAGCTGTAAAATAAATCCAAAAAATCAAAAACATTTCCCTGAATTCAGCTCTCACGGAATAAGGGAACCCACAATAGTATCGTATCACTACTAGAAAAAAGACATGACCACTTCACTTTTTCAGGAAAATTTTTTGGCACTTTCTGCACTTTTACTTCGAAGCTTGAGAAAAGTCTAATAGCCTCTCAGCTTCAGCATGTGAGTACGGCGGAACCAAGATTTCGTGCTCGCTGACATCACGGTTTACAATTTACTGCTCTTGTAGAGTACTACGAGCGATCTCAAACCTTTTCATGATTACTATGTAAAATGTTTTAGTTATAAACTGCTTTTCCAGAAATCCTCTAATTAACCAGATTTAGAATTTTTTTCGAGAGTGGGATTTGCTTTTTAAAACATAGATTAACCTCTCTGCTATCGATTGTTGAAAATCGTAGGTCTCTATATTTTGTCGTATTTGAATTATTCGAACAACAACCGCCTGCCTTATATTTTAGGATGGTAGTTCACGAGTCTTTGGCTGTACGTGAGTATTCTCCTCCTTTTATGGGCACTGATCGTTCGGTACCGCTCGTTGTTGTTCCAGAAGGTATTGTACATAGAAAATGCAAAATCAAACAGAAAAAGAGAACGGAATGTAGTAGAAAAAAAATGTTGCTAGAGAAAGGATAGATCTATAGACATGTTTTAATACACAAACTGGAAAAATTCAAAATACTTTTTTTGTGTTTATGGTTCTGCTAGGAAATTCATATGTTTCTTTCTAGAAGTAGATGTATATTTACTTTTGGTACGAAAACTGTGTTGAACAAATTAAATTATAAATATATATTATCAGCATTATTTACATAGATATTTTCAGTATGTCTAGCCTATGCACACTTCTGACACCATCCAGTCAAATTTCATCGCGCATACGATGTCAAAATTGTGGTATTCAAATGAATCAAGTCAGTTGGAAACAATGTGTAATATGCAAAAAGTTTAATTTATGTGATAAATGTGCATTGCGAGATGTTAAATTAGAATCTGAAATAATTGATTATCATACACAGTTACATAAGAATATTGGGAACCATGAGTCTATCGGTTTGAGTGAATGTATGCAATGGATACACATCACGGAAGATGTTGAAGATGTAGAAACAAGAGAAAAAGAATTTTCTCGTATAATGAATGAGAATATAATTCGAAATGATTATGATATGTCTGTTGTTATTGCAACATTAAAGGAAATGGGAAATAGATCACAATCACCATCTGAACAACAAGAACGGCAACAATTGGCTTCCATGATCGTAGACTATCATACACAAGGATACGGAAGAAATATACGTGTATTGAGCTTAGATGGGGGTGGTAAATAGCATCAAAATCAATTTTCAATAGATGTACATATTTACTCTTGTGTTTGTTATTTGTAGGTATACGTGGTTATATGCCCCTTCAAATTCTTTCTCATGTAATAGCAAAGAAATATCTTCCGGATATACAATTTAATTCTGACAATTCAGAACATAGAGAACGATTTAAACAAGTTCAATCACAATTTACAAATAATTTTGATTATTTTGTTGGTACTAGTACTGGTGGACTTATTGCTTTTTGTTTGGCTGTTAACTATAGTATATTAGATATGAAAGAACTATATTCAAATTTTCCTTACTACTTTAAACGTAATTGGCTTGGTCCCTTATTATCGGCCAGATATGATCCCAGTCGTATACACGCTAAAATTGATGAAGCTATTGGTACAATTACACTAAAAAATGGCAAGCAATTATCAGCTGAAAATGCTACTTTACTTGACATACGTAATTTCTTAAATCCTGATCGTATGATTAATGATGATGAGTTAACATCATTGTCTTTATCTCATGGAAATTTGTTAGAATTTGTTGATGATACTGAGCAATGTGTCAGTGGAACTTGCAATATCAAGGTTAATCGTGTTAAACGCGAAAAAGTATTGCTTATTCCTGCTTACAACTCAACAATAAGTAGTATTACCATGTTTAATACAAGTTATGCTGCACACTGGCACTATCGTATAGCAGATGTATTAAAAGCGACAATGGCTGCTCCCGCATATTTTCCACCACATAAATTACACAAAGGAAACGTTGAAAACGGTCATTTTGTACCAGATAAACATCATGAAATATTTATTGATGGCGGTGTATTCGCCAATGATCCAGAATTAACAGCATTATGGGCAATACGAATGCAGTGGAAAAAAATGGTCAATTATCATTTACTTTCTATAGGTACAGGACACCACGTTAAAGAAGTATCAGCACCAACCTGGAGTGGCTATTTAGGATGGCTCAACAAAGGATTACTTGTTAATACCTTAATGGAAGCTACACGTAGTTTTACGGAAATAATTACAAATAATTTAGCTAAATTCAATGATATCAAACGGATGAAATTCAATTTTAGACTAAAAAAATCTATGCCTTTAGATGATCCAAGTTTTGTCTACGAATTTGATAAGGAATGGAAAATTTTAAAAAATGGAGAAGACTTTCAAGCATTAATTACTTTTTATAACAAGTATATTGATACGGGACCAAATTAAATGGAAAAGTAATGAAAATGTTACACATGATCTTTAGGTGGCTGTTATGTGATTCTTTCCATCAAAGAGAGTTGAAAAATATTGGATCACCAATATATTTTAAATATCTCTGTGGAAGATTTCTCGAAGGATCTTTTTTCATTTAATTTCTTACAGGAAAGGTGTAAAG